CTTTCCCTGCTTTCTTAAATCATATATGTTATAGACACTAATTCCCAGGTGGGACCTTTGACCAGACAATAAATTTTGTTATAATACAGGATTAATCTCATTCCTTGCACTGTAGATTTTCATAAGAATTCAATATCAGCTTTGTGAGATTCAATTTGACATTTCTACTATCATTAACTTAAGTCTAGTGTCCTTTATGAGTCATGAGGTAAATGTAAAATTGAGCGATATAAAACTGCCTATTTCTCTTGCAAAAGAAAGGGTAGTTTTCATATACGAAATGACTGATTCTTGGATATAGATAGATTTTGTTAAAGTTGCCTTATGGGGGACTCAATTTTATAACATTTCAACTATCTAGCTTGTCACTTTATTTGTTATATCCAGATAATCATACTATGGCACTAGATCAATTGATTTTGGAGTAGTTCTACCACTGCAAGATCTGAAATGAAAAAGTCTGAAAAAACTGCACAAATATAAAGAGCATGTCTCTGCTGTATAGTCTTGTGTGATTTAGTTATTGGATATTTCAATGGACTTTTATAATTTGAAGCATAAACTCTACTACGGGGGTACTTTCTTTACTTTGGGCTACTTTTTTTTCTTTCTGATGCTTTAATTTTAGATGCAGCGTAATTCATTCGCAAGTCTAACTCTTGGTTCATTTTTATAACTTTTATGCGTTTACTTAGAATATTGTTGCTTAAATTTTGTCTTGTGTTTTTCTTATAATTATTTTGTTGGTCTCCTTGTTCTCACTATAATTTTTTGTCATAGTACTCATTAGCATTTAAGTGCCTTATTTTTCACAAGCACTAACAGTAACAGTTTAAATTATGTTCTACTTCTTTTGCCTTGGTGATGAGTATCTTCAGATTGTGCACTGGAAAAATCACTTGAAATTTCCAGAGGAGGCCAGATTGACACCTGAAGCCAAGGATCTAGTATGCAGGTTGCTTTCTGGTGTTCCACACAGGCTTGGTACTAGAGGAGCAGATGAAATCAAAGTGTGTAAAATGTGGTTTTCTTTCTTTTTCCCCCTTGTATTACTTTACTGCTATGTCATAATATTCCTTAATAATATTACCTGTTCTTAATTGAGCAGGCTCATCCTTGGTTCAAAGATGTTATATGGGACAAACTCTATGAAATGGATGCAGCATTTAAACCACAAGTCAATGGAGAGCTTGACACTCAGAATTTTATGAAATTTGATGAGGTAATATATTATATATTATGATTTTTTAATTCTTCTTTTTTTGATCAGTGTGCCTTGTCGACACCCATGGTATGTTTTGTATCCATGACTTCTATAAACTCGCATTGTCCTTTCAGCTTGTTCCTTAGAAGAGAAGTAGGTACCATTAAAAGAAGTGGTGGGGCGATTATAATGATTTATGCATTATTTGTTGTACCTATTTATTCCCTTGATTATCAATGAACCACAAATGCAAATTTACCTCATAGTTTGTGTTAAAATATAAATTTTGTTGAAAATAAAATAAGGACCCGGTCACATTTTGTTGTTCGCCTACAAAGCTTCATGATGCATTCAACCTATCTTCTCAATAAGCTAAATTGCTGGATGGGCTATAAAAGATTTAGGTGGGAAAGAGAAGGAAAAGGGAATAAGAGAACAGAGGATAGAAAAACAAGAGAAACAGAGATCAAAGAACTGAGTAGTGTGATTAAATTATTATTATTATTATTATTATTATTATTATTACTCCAGTCTGTCTAAAATACAACAACATGCTTTATTTAAGGCAGATACCCAACAGCCATAAAGTCCTATTTAACAGTATCTGAATAATTAACATTCCTTTCCTATTCATATTTACATAACAACGGTTAAACAAACTTTTTCACAAATAATCAGGTAGACTATCTTCATCTCTGATCTTCCCAGCATTTATATGCCTGTCGGAGACGTAATTGATATGGTCTAATATTTTTTTCTCTAAGGGTTCTATGGTGTTTCTTTCCCTTTCTTCATGTCTCTGGAAATAGGCAATGAAAGACTTGCACTGCCATTTCCCCACTCTGATAACTCAAATTCCATTTTGATCTATCAACATGTACTCATTAACCCCTAATATTTTTGTATTATTTGCAATACACACCCTCCCAAATTATCCAAATTAAGTTAATTGGATTAGAAAAAAACCGACAAGTTAATGAGAGAAATGTGCTAATATATCAATCTGGTGCCAAACTGCCAATCTCACACTTTAACATGCAATCACACTATCCCTATTTGTCACCATAGTTGCACAGTATGGCTACATATAATATTAGGCAGGTACTGGTGAGGCTGAGCCTTACATGCAAACATATCATGTGCAAATATCAAACATGAAAGAATACTATCATACAAGCTTGTCATTCTGAAAAGTTGGGACATGGTTATACTTATATCTTCTATTTTGTTAAATGCAATTGCGCCAATCTATTACTTAAATTGCATTTTGTCTGTACATATTTTGATTTAAGCATATTAACCCTTAACCATTTGTGTTGCTTGCTATGTCCCCCCATTTTTTAATAAAATCATAAATGATTAGGGGTTAATATGCTTAAATCGAAATATCAACAGGGAAAATGCAATTGGTCTAATAGACTAGGGCAATTACAGTTTTCAAAATTGACAAGCTTGTATGATAGTATGCTTGGCACTTGCTTGTTTGATATTTTGTACAAAATATTTTGTCTCTGAATTTTGGTATGTAAGATGTTCTCATTTAAACTCAGTTTCCTTTAATGTATAAACCTTTATAGAATTTTTTTTCAGAAACAGTGTGGATGAAGTAATTATTAGTTAATTTCCTGCTGTCTTTTAAGTTTTACTTTCATATTTACGTGCATGGATTGTCCTATCTTTTGCTTTACCTGAGATTAACATTTTGTTGGCTGGAATTCTTATATGATTGTAATTGTTTTAACAGGTTGACCAACCAAAACCAACTAGAACTGGATCTGGAACCCACAGAAAGGTAGCACTTTATTTACTTGGAAGAAGAACAAGATTTGTCAATCTGAATTGACTTGCCTCTGTTGTTTGCTTTTACGCATCATTCAATTTGAAGTGGAAAATTTCATCTTCTTTAGAATATTTATACCATCATAATAATCCTTGGGTCCTCCAAAATATTAAATCTGTAAATACTCGAATCCTCATCCAACTGGGATGCAAGAATAACTGCATGAATTTGTCTCCATGGAACTTACACGTAACATTTAGTTCCAATTCAATCATCAGTAATGTTGTTTTGGTTCTCAAGGAAACAACACATCTCGATATTTTTCTTGCTCTAAAGGTGTGGCATATTTTTCAAGGTTGATGATATTTAAAAAGAAAAAAGCTAGTTAATAAATTAATAATCTGTTTCCTTCATTCATAAGCTCCTACCCTTTTAACCGGTGGACTTCATTGATCCATGTTCTCTCCTTTACGGTTTATTGTATCCTTTTTGTCCGCAGAAGCTCATAACTACTCAAGATCTCAGTTTTGTTGGTTATACATATAAGAATTTTGCTGCTGTCAAGGGGATGTATCAATCTACCGGTAGGTATTTTTTCTCCTGAAGCATAAATATTACAATTTCATCTCCCTTGTCATATTATAATCTTCGACACCACCACTTTCTATCGATTTATAATGTTGTTTCATTTTCTATTGTTTTTGTCAACATTTAAGATTTTCTATCTGTGCATGATATCAGTTGATTAATCTTATCTGCCAAAAGTGACTTACTTTATAAGTATAGCAATAGGCATTCAAATAAGTTCAGGAATTCAGATACTCAGCATCTTATGGTGATGGGTGGCATTCAGCTTAATAAATATAGGACTTGCACAGTTTAGGTTTAATGTATTTCCTTACGACTTCTGAGAATGATTGCTTCTTGCAAGTGTTTCCAGACATGCAAGAGCCTTTGAATCTGAACTAAGTTAATAAGAGGCAAAAAGTTTAAATTAAAAGCATATTCTTTATACTTTAAGTTTAGGGTTTAGGGTGCTTATTTAATCTCATTGGTTGTAAACTTGAACTCCCTCTGTTTTTTATTATAAGCAATAAACTTGAACTCCCTTTGTTTTTTATTATAAGCAAAAATAACTAATTTTATGCATATTAAAAATGTTTGTTATTTGTATTATCCATAAAATTCTTTCTAAATTGTCCTCGTTATAAATGTCAAAAATGGTAGTACAACCGAAAGATCATGCATTAAAGGAGAGATATTTTATATCATTAAATGATGCAAAAGTAGTTAAATTTATTTATATTTAAGAACAAAAAATGTTTTTTTTTACTTATAATAGAGAATAGAGGGAGTAATGATTAAAAATAACTTTTTTTCCTATACTACCCTTCATTAAAACTTGATATTAAGAATAAAAAATCCATTGAAAATAGAATCTCAATTAAATAAAAGATATTTTTGAGATGATAACGTTAAATAGGGTAAAATTAGTTAATATTTGCTTATATTTAGGTTCACCATTCATGAATTTTTTTTTTGCTTGTATTTGAGTTCAGAGAGTGTTTTATATATATTTTTTTTTCAATTTTGAATATACATTTTGGTCCCCCTAACATGTGTTTGGTAGGAGGAGAATGGATGGGAAGGAAAGTGTTTTTTTAAAAAGTTTTTTGGTTTGGTTCAATTTTTAGGAAAAGGGTTGGGCAAAACTCCTCCTCAACTAATTTTAGCTCCTCGCTAATATTGAAAGGATTTGGAGGGAAGTGGAGAGGAGAATTTTTAAAACATTTTTAATATAATGTTTAAAATATCTTTATTTGTGTTTTTAAATTCAGAATTATAAGGGTACAAAAATAAATTAGTTTTTAAAAATTTTCCACTCCCTTTCCCTTGTGAACCAAACAAGAAAAAATCACCTCTCCTCCCTTCATTATGATGAAAAGTTGAAAACCATTAGAAAGATGGTTGGTGAGTTCCTCCACGAGTTTCCATGTTGTGCTCAATCTTCTTCCATGGATGAACAAACTTTAGAACAAACAAAAAATGGTGAAAAAGGAGAGAATATGGTGCACCACTTTCTATGAAGAAAGATAAACAAGAAGTGTTGATCTTACCACAAGGAAGAATTCCTTGATAAAAGATCTTAAAGAGAGATTTCTCCAAAGAAGAGAATTAAAACTTTTAGAAGAGAAATTCAAAGGTTTATTCTCATTTACATCCAAAAGTGATAAATCATATACAAAGAAAAATTATATATAGAGTTTGGTTGATTTATGGTTCAAGTTAGACTAACCATAGTTAAATATAACCAAAGTTAGCCATCTTGTACTTAAGCTAATCAACTCTAATTAATTGTTTAAAAGCTTATGGAACAAGCTAAGTTAATCCTAGTTTAAGAATAACTTAGGTTAGTTTAAGTAACTCAAACTATCTAACTTAATCATTACAACCATCAAACTAATGATTACTTAACAAGTTTGTTAAGATGTCACTATCAAAATCCATGCGACTAATTAACCACTTGGATGGCCAAGTTGGCATGATTTTTGATGTCCAAATAAACATATGAACATGATGTGGACATCCAAATGATTAAATGGACTTCCAAGCCCATAACTAAAATGGATCTTGACCCATTCAAGCCTAATAAGTCCAACATGCCTTTAACTAATTACATCTCTCCTAAACTACTATTTACACCTTCAAATAAAATCAATACAAGTAGAAAAATTCCTACACTAACTTGACTCAAAATACAAGTTCAAAAATAAAGGAAAGTATTTGTAAGGAGAAATATACACAAAGAATAGAAAAAGAAAGCAAGTTAAAAAGGAACCCAAGACTCGGTAAGAATTTGAGCCTTCTTTCTTCAAGTTTAGTCCACTCATCTTGATTCCTTTAAAATTAAGGCCCTGGGCATGATGTCATCACATTAAGATGCTTTTCTTATCCTCCTCTTCATTAAAATTCATTTCCTATCCTCCGATCAACCAAACAAAATTTCTAATCTTTCTTCACTCTT